GATGACTTTGTTGGGGCGGAACCACTGTACAAGTTGCTGGTCGAACGGAAGCTCTCAACCCGGAAAAGTTGATTCGAGGATGTATCCAAATATTTGGCCTCTAATCTGTGCTCATATCGTGGGCCACCAATTGCACTCACACCGGGCTCGCTAGTATCAATATATATGGCATGATCTGAAGACTCCATGTCCAATCTGATTTCTTGACGCTTGTCTTCGCGAGCAAATGCAGCAACCTTTGCAGCATAAAGCGAGGTTATATTGCTGACGACGGCTTCAACGCTCTCGGTCTGAAAGTAGACATCGTCGATCCCAAGCTCATTATAGAACCATTCCAATTGTGCGTCAATGAGTTCAGCCGGTATCCATTTCATTGCTTTGATCTGCTCTCTCACTTCAGGGAATCAGAGTTGTACATTCATCACGGCCAGAGTTGACTTACCTTTAACCATCTGTTCTGTCCCTACCTGCGATTCTGGAGCAACATATCCAACAGTGGCGGAACGTAAAACGCGGTGTCCATTTCCATTGCCATTTCTGTGGGGGATGTTGAAATGGGTTGGTTGTGGTGAAGGTTGTCGACCAGGAGTTCGGATGATCTGCTCCACCAACGTATGGGGAGAACGGGGTGTTGAACTACTGATAGTAGCCATGTTTTCTTCTGTGGAAAGAATGAACTGTTCGTCGTATGCGGGAAACTGCTGAAGAGCACCCATTGAGTCAGTATTGATAGGGGAAAGAACCGTAGCCATTGTGACTAGTGGTTGTGATGTAGAGAATAACACCGCCCGCTAGATGACTTGCACAAGATGTGTGAATAAAAGGGAAAAGTAAGTGATGATAGACCCAAAAGTACAGCAGGTCATCAATGCCTATCTATATCGGCAAGCCGGTAAGAAAGGGCCAATTAACGGATGGAAAAGGAGTCAGGAATCGTGTTGACAATGCAACTCCTGGATTCCTTGACCGCTTCATTTCTCAGCATTACTTGCATTGCCTGCATTGCTAGGGAAGGGTGCTTATCAGTCGATTCCACTCTAAGAGCAACCCTGATCTCAGAATAGTCCGAGGGCGGTTGTTTGAGATAGAAATTTGGACTTATTCGATCTTCAGGTTGGTAAAAAGGGAACCTGATTAGCGCCAAGCCTGTGTTTTCCCAGGGCAATGGAGGCGTTTATTTTGATAGGAAGCGATAAGGAAATTTATGTGGGTTTCAGAAAAAGGAATGGAAGATCTGCGCCACGGAGGAAAAACGTACCTGAGAGATAAAGTTGTATCACATACACCAGTACCAATTGTATGTGGAAAAGGTGTGGTGATAGTTTGTATTTTCAAAAATGTGTACTTTACTAGAGATGGAAGTTGGTAAGTGGTGTGTGCGGTAGTTGTGTTGGATTTAAAAAGTTACTGGGACCACGAAGTGTCGTCAAATGTATGGAAGGCTCCCGGTTAGGAACGGTTGGTTTCCAAAGATTCAGTGAATTTGAAGGCGGCTCAAGAGGTGGATACCAATTTAATTGGGGGATCTAGAAGCCGTATGGCGAATTGAGTCTTGCAAAGTATCGAATGAATAAAGACTTTTTATTATTTTGGGTACGTATCGTCACGTCACCGTAAGCCTATTTGATCAAATTAGAGGGGATGTTGAACACCGTAGCGGACTTGGGATACGTACTAAGCAGGGCTGACAATCCAAAAAGACGATGAATGAAGGGTGTTGATGCGTGCTGATGGGTGTATTCCAGGGGTGAATATAGTCTTATCTTTTGCTCAACCACAGACAATACGACAGCGAGATTGTTGGGCGGGGAGAGGGGGCGAGCGGTGACAGTGAAGAACTAAGAATAGGATATAGATTGAAAATGCGTCTTTGCGTCTTGCATTCCTCGTATTGAGTGATATATGCAGACACAATGCGATTGTTGTTGCTTGTTTCAAAGATAAGAAGAGAAAGGCAGAGGGGAGGGCAAAGGAAAAAGAAAGGAACAATCTGAGTCAGAGTTCGAGATAAGACGAGAAAGAGCTGGAATGCTCGTTATTTATATCTTGACGAAGGGAGTAACAACGTAGAGGATGATGGAGGTTGATATTGATATTGATATTGATATGATCTTAATCTTGATCTTGATATGCTTGCCCTTTCAAGGTTCCAATGGCAGCAGCAAGTGAATCAATTTATAATAAATCATTCTTCTCCGACTTTCCCTAACCTCAAACTCAAAAGTCTCGATTGAGTAATAAAAAAGTTTCAAGAATGAGGGCTTTAATTTTGGGTCGATTTTATTTCTCTCACTCTTTTCCCCTCATAGCTCTCATAGCTCTCATACCTCTCGCGCCTCATGCCTCATGCCTCATGCCTCATGCAGTGGTCGATTGCTTTGATTTGCCCTCTTCTGGATGCTTTTGGTCTGGTTTGACATATATTCAGGTCAGGTTCCAATGCAACGATTACCTACCTAGTGGCTAGTCGCTCGTGTTGTTCGGACGGGAATTTTGTTGGTGGTACCTGACGATCTAGCAAGGTGTAAGGTACAGGAAGAAATCGATCAATTGATGTTTACCGCTCCTTAGCGTCTGTCCTCCCTGGCTCCTTCCCCAATTGAAGGGTAAGTGTGGCTCGAGTGGGTAAGCGGATATCCATTTTTTTGCTGGTCGTGCTGGTCTCTTGCTGGTACCGTGCTGGTTCTGCTGGTTCTGCTGGTTCTGCTGGTTCTGCTGGTTCTGCTGGTTCTGCTGGTCGGTAAGCGGTTATTCGAGGCACATCTTAGATATTGCAACCCTGTCTCCTGTGGCCAACCCTGTGCTCCACCCCCTGTGAGCTGATAGATACATAGTAGATACGGTAGATACCAGCGTAGGATGATTTATTAATTGACTTTCACTTAACCATGTTGAGCTATATTGCACCCCTTCAATGCGGACCTAGGTACGTGCCAGCCTCTATTGAATTCATCGAAACTCCAGTGCGGTGGCAGCGTGGCTTGTGTAGAGTCCAAACGCAGACACTCTTCCATGATCCGAATTATCCACTACGAACTACGGACTACGAGGCACAAAGTATGTTTCCGTTGGGCATTTGAATGTTCCATGTTCCATATCTCTTCCAGAAGAATGGCTATTCTTATCACTTGATCTCCCTAAAGAGGATTAGTTTTCAACATCTCCTTCTCTTTCGAAAGTAAGGAGTAAGGTCTAATCCCGTTCCCTATGAAGTTATCTCCCTGGACATACGGGAAAGGGCTGAGAATGCATACTCCGTAGGGTACTGGAAAACTCTACTGCTGCTTGGGTAACCTCGAGTTCAATGAAGCCGATTTCGTAAAAGTAACTGCACCCCAAGTCATCAAAGGAAGATCTGAGGCAATTTTGGATTCTATTTTTGGTTGAATGCGAGAATGCTCAATACCGGTCCGTCCGTATAAGCCCAGTTTGCCCAGCCACGAATGGTTTCTGGAATATAGGTCATCACCAAGCCAAGGATATGCTGTACCCTGATATTTCGTAGTATGAATGGTGCATGTTGTACAATCTCTATATACTTTTTGGAAAGGAACGGAAAGGAAACCAAAAAACCATTCGGAAAGTCCACCCAGTGACAATGTTTCCAATAATCCGTCTCCACGACAGCGTTCTTTCGCAAGGCCAAAAGAAATAACATTCAATGTGCAGTAGAGTCTTCATGATTAGAGGTTACTCGAGTAGGTTATTCTCTCGCACGAGTCATCATTCACATTTAGTTGCATGAACCAAAATCTACGTTCAACACTCGGACTACCCTAACTACATACTCCTCTAACAATAACAACAACAACAAGAAGAAGAAGAAGCTCTCGAAACCTAAAACAATGGCCCATGAAGAATGAACAAAGTCCTCTTTCTCTATCCACCACAATCCACAAATTCGCTGTCTAGATTCTGTCACTTCCCCAGTCTCGCATCGCGGGTCTCCAAAACACGAAGCCGAAATGACTAATTCCCTCACGGATCCCGTGATATTCGTTCTCATGACCATCAGACCTCCAAATTTGGCAAAAACGCCATAGAGTTGACCAGGATATTTCAAACAAGTTCAAGAGATATTCGATTAGATCGAACCATATTAAAATAGTAATAGTGAGACTCATATAACAACAACAACAATCAATCAATCAGTCAATCACGAAAACGAGAAGAACACGAGAGCCGTGCAATTTCATGACCTAAGCGAATCAAAAAGTCTAGATGTAATTGGTGAGAGACAGAGGCAGTGAGTAATGGGACAGTAGTGCTCTCCATATGGCAAGTTTCAATCAATCAAGATTTTCCCATTCATTTCTCCATGGTTTGCCATTGTTCTCCATAATTCCCCATTCTTTTCTTCCAAATCACGCTTTCCCCTTTTCAATTTAGCTTAGAAGATTCTTTCGTCAACCCCGCCATTTACTATTCCCCAAATTGATTTCTCTTACCCCCCAGGAAATCATACTCCAACGTCAACCTTACTCAAACTTCATCTCCTACATCCAATAGAACTTCATTTTACGCCCATCTGTCTCCTGACTGTGACAAACGCATTTCCTCATCCCTTATTACCTGTCGTCATTCGGGGTCTGGATTGTACATTGAGAATTTAATGGAATCTCATGACTAAGAGTTTGCATTTTTCATTACACATCGGTCCATGCCATTACTTGGGTCCAAAGGGTCAAACAAGGTCAATAAGACAATATTCCACCATTGAGTCTCATACTTTCCCAGCTTCCCAAGGACCGTGTTAGTTTCTCTTACCCCAGATTGTGTCACCTGCCGCTAAAAACGACTCTTGATTCAATAAGCGCCGATTCACCGTGTTTGATACTCACCCTAGCCTCTTCACGGCACGCAATTCGAATCCCATATTTCTTCATATAGTACTCCACAGTGTTCTATGCTACACCGCTAGGTTAACGCAACCTCTCCATCGTTGAGTAATAGTGCAGTCAACCCGCATATTCAAATTACATTACGTTTCTCTTTGTCTCATGGCTTCCCCAGAGAATCATATTGGTCATGAGCAACAGGATCAGCACGGACAACGAGATCAGCACATGAACAGCAGAGAATATGCTGTGTCCCAAGATGCTCAGGATCCTCTTCGTCAGATCAGAGATGAATTCCTCATTCCTTCTACGGCTGATTTGCAAGCCGGGACTTTGTCAAGTTTAGGTACGAGATTCTACTCTAGGTAGTTGGATCTGTTAACTCAATGGTATCTTAGAGTCTCGAACTTCCTCTCCTGGCGATACCTGTGTTTACCTTTGTGGAAACTCACTTGGCCTACAGCCGCGTACTACCTCCACTCGTATAGAACAATATCTCAAGACTTGGGCAACTCAAGGTGTATTTGGCCATTTCAAACCCCTTTCTGATTCGCCTTTGCCAACATGGCTACATGTAGATTCAAGTGCTTCGGAGAACATTGCTCCTATTGTTGGTGCGGAACCTTCGGAGGTTAATGTAATGCAGACTTTGACTGCCAATTTACACCTTCTCATGTCCGCATTCTACAACCCTGATATCAATGGCAGGCACAAAATCATATTGGAAAGCAAGGCATTTCCATCAGATCACGTGGGTCGCCCCTTTTGCGCTCGTCACCAACCGTTTATGCCGGCTAAATTACATACAGTACGCCGTAGAGTCGCAGATCCGGCATCACAACCTCTCACCTGCTACGTCGATGATTACCCTGGAGTCGCGTTCAATTACCGAACCCACACTCTCCACAGATTACATACTCAAAGCCATTGAAACCCATGCTAAAGATACAGCGATTTTGATACTCCCAGGTGTTCAGTTCTATACAGGCCAGTTATTTGACATACCCCTCATCACACGCCGGGCTCGAGATCTCGGCATATTTGTCATTTGGGATCTCGCTCATGCAGTCGGAAACGTTCCACTTTACCTTCATGATTGGGACGTCGATGCAGCTGCCTGGTGCACTTACAAATATTTAAACTCAGGACCGGGTTGCATTGGTGGAATGTTCATTCATGAAAGGAACACTCAAGTATCTGCTTCGTCACAGAACACAGATGCGGGGGCAGGTTTTGTAAATAGATTAAGTGGCTGGTGGGGCAATGACAAGAATACGAGATTCGCCATGGAGAATCGATTCGTGCCGATAGCGGGTGCTGCGGGATTTCAATTGAGTAATCCAAGTGTGCTGGACATCACGAGTCTAAATGCATCTCTGGAGATATTCAAGCTTGCCGGTGGAATGGAAATGTTGAGGGCGAAATCTGTGGAGCTGACTGCCTATTTGGAGGATTTGCTTTTAGATACAGCGATCTTCGAAAAGAGCAGGTTCTCGATCATTACACCTCGGGACAGAGAGCAGAGGGGTGCTCAGCTGAGTCTCCAACTTGCTGATGGATTATTGAATGTGGTCATGAAAGAACTGGAGTTGAGGGGAGTGGTCGTAGATGAAAGACAACCAAATGTGATAAGAGTGGCGCCGGCTCCTCTATACAACAGCTTCGAGGATGTATGGAAGTTTGTGGAGGCATTCAAAGAAGCAATGGATATAGCTTGGAAGGCAAAGCTTGGAGAAGTATCTGCTGAGGGCACACGGGAATTAGAATTGACCACCTGAAGAGATAGGATGTCATCGCAATGGGAATCAAGTCGATCAAAATCTTCTCCATGTGTCAAGTGCACTCAATATAAACTTTAAGTTATCTAAAAGTTCTTGTCCCACGTTATGCAGTGATGCGGGGTCCCATTTTCGATTTTAGTCCGACTAGATGATCTAATCTCAACCATCCAAATGTTGCTTAAGTTTCTATCAAGTTTACTGACTTCACAGTCACAGATTTGGTGTTGTTCACTGGATCATTTCGATGTGCGTCAAGCATGGCGAACGGACTTTCAATTTTTCTCTTGCACCTATAATATGAAGCTCTAAATAATGCCCAGCCAATTCCAACCTTCACATTCAGACTATTGCCTGTTTTCTTTACGTCCAATTCATCATATTCAAGATTTTGTATTGTCCAAGGCCGACCACTCGTCGTACAACATCTTCGCCAAGTGTTCTGGACAATCTGTACTACAGAGCTTAGCCACTACCATATGGATCAGAGGAAAATAGGAGAATATTTAATAGGACACATGCATAATCACACCACTGAGCCAAGGAATCAGTCATCTCGCAAGGCGAATATGCGCTGGTAAGGAGAAAAAGTACCAGACGGCTCTTGCACCTGCACGTGTGTAGACTGTCGATGCCGCACAATACGGGAAGCAGAAACTGTGCATGTGTTTGTCAATTTCTTGGAGTTGATTGTAGCATTTGATCATCTAAGTCTTTACAACACGGTAGGATATTAAAATAATATACTAGGGCTGGGCTTACGGATTCATGTCTGCTGCATATTACACTAGTTCTTCGGGAGTAATGTGGATAGAGAAAATGTGCTACACGTATTTTGGTGTTGCTATATTATTCTTAACATTGATCAATACCGATGATTGATAATGATTAATTTGAGGGTAAAACTTGTCTCGGACATACCAGGCATGGTGGTACCCACTTCAGTATGTTTGAAGCACGTGAAAATCAACTTTCAGCACAATGCAGTCCCCACAACTCAGGCGTTTTGAATCCTCAATCAAGTGTCTTACATATCTTTGTACCTTGAATATCTGAATGAAACTTTCGTCGTAAGATTTAGGTTCAATGGACAGTCTTCACGATGAGGACAAATATCTACTTCGATGCCGGCTTGAAACACAGTAGTACTCAAATCATATCAATATACTGATTATCCAACACATTGCTCATGAAAATGGATGATTGTTGATTGCCTCTCGATGTTTCACATATATCCAGCCCTCCCCAATTCATCAGCTAGGTTTGGAATCCCCCAGGCCCCAAGACATCCATCTACTTTATATCTTTTCCGTTGAACGAGTATAAAGTTTGCTAGGTTTGATCGCAAGGACTACAGAGTTAGGTGCAACTTTTATTTCAATGTCCAGTTTATGCACAAGGTATTCATTACTGCGACCCACATCCCGATAGTCAACGGCCCTTTCCAGTAATCTACGTATACGGCTTGAGTCGAAGGAACAAGTGAAATCACAATTGATGTAGTGATTTTGATTCGTGCGAATTTACCGGAATTCTCCAATCTTAACACGACGGTCAAAAGAAAACGCATCTTGAAACATATCGGTTATTCTTAATCGTATTGCTGATCCTTTTCAAATCGATGATTGTATGTGAGCGTGAGAAGCTATTTGATTGTCAGATTCGAAGTAGAATGTTGCGAAGTATTAGTATTACTATCATGCGCGTGTTCTTTGAACCTGATGTTATTACCTCAAGACAATTTCGATGTCTTCGATATCATTTTTAAATGCGCCGCCTGGACAATACAGATCGATATCCAATATATTGGAGACAAAAATAAAAATAAAAAATCATACATTAAGCTTCGAACGTGTCTTATGGAAGATTCATTGACTTGCTGATAAAATTCAATCAAAAAAATGTTTAATTACATCATAACGATGGATTGTCCACAGATCCATGCTTGTCAGTCCAACCTTTTCTGGAGTCATCATGCCTTCTCCAAAGCTCTCTCCCAGACACGCATTGTGCTCTCCCAGACAACTCTTTCTGCAATGATCTTCCTATAGTCCGGTAAGATGTCACCATCAGGTGCACTCTCATCATCTGCCTTGAGTCTGTAAACTCCATTTGAACTTCCATTTTCACCAACCACGGAACTCCTTGAAATTTCTACACCCACAGGTAGCTCTACGCCCGGACTAGCCCCCCCTCTTATTTCGGCAGGTGGGTACTTCGCACTAGTTGCCAAAAATAATCCCCTCTCTCCCGCTTCCTCCACACTCATTGCAAATAAGTTGAGAAAAGGTAACATTACCCATCTAAAGAGAGTTGATGGAATGGCATAAAAACCCGTGGTAGAAGACATCAATCTACCAACAGCCCCAGTATCCACAAATCCCGGATACTTGTGAATGAAAGTTATGCGAGAGTTAGACTTCGCCAGTTCTTCGAAAGCTAGAGTTGTTTGAGTTGTTCCACTACCAGCAGCTTTAATCATAGTGAAATCTCGCCTTACTTCGAGATCGTCAAGATCAATTGATTTCTCTTGCCCCCCCGCTAAGATTGAAATAACTCGGGGATTGGGAGCGGTTTGCAGAAGAGGAATCAAGTTGTAGGCGAAACGGAGACGAGAATAGTAACGGAGGGATTGAGGGATGTCAATCCCTTCAGATGATTCTGGACAGTATCAATACATGGTGGATGGAAAGGGGGCTATGACTAAATATACCATTCCGACCATCGAAGGACAGATAGCCTGCGCTTAAGAATACGACATCGACCTTTTCTTCTTTCCTCTTAATTTCATCGCAAAGTCTATCCACTTCCTTGATTAAAGAGATCTCGCCTTCGAGGAAGTTCAGTGTTGCTGATGGATTTGAAAGTTTCAGGTCTTTGAGTAGACGCCCTGCAGCTGATTCGGATCGTCCAATGATGTACGCCTTGGGAGCATTTGCGTACTTGATGAATGCTTTTAATGTACCCATACCAATACCTGATGTTGCACCCGCAAACACGGCAACCATACCTGGAGTGCCTGCAGCTTTAAATGCGACATTCGAAGCCCGAACAGCATTAATCGCGACCATTATGCTGTCGATTCAAATAGGTTGGATACTGCGATGTTGTTTGAAATGTAGCAAGGTGTAGCAGAGCTCACGATAGGTTGTACGATCTTATGGAAACAAAGCAAGGAGAAAAATGAGAGATGAATGATTTGAACAGAAGACTTACATTCTAGAGCAGATTCTTACCTGATATATATAGCCGAAATCATCATACCATTACTGTCATATATTATAAGGGTCAAAATGATGTCAAGTCGTATGCACCTCGGATTCATGAAAGCTGGAGGATGAATGCGAGTATGGACCGAGCTTTATCTCTTAACTATTTATAGATGCCGCCGACGATAGAAATGGAGAGAATATTTGGATACACGTTACTTAGCATGAATATGAATATGAATATAAATATATATCTCGGACGCATGTCTATAGATGCGCAATACAAGATTGTTTCATAAGTTTGGTTTCGTAGACATCCAAAGATTGAATTCAATTCTGTTCATTGGATGGTACAAAGTACTCGTATTATTATCTAGGTATTTTATTTGACTTATGTCATCAATTGCTTTCACTCCGTGGTTCAGTCGGAAAAACTGCGGTCGAATAAATATTGCCCATCCTGACCGCTATTGCTGAGCAATGTTTGTAACTTTTGATGATTACCTAGTACCTATAATCTTTCGAACGTTGTAACTTCTCCCGTCTTCTACTCTTGATCCAATACTCCGATTTTGGCTCCTGTTGAACATGGCGACCCAATCTCTTACACGTAGATGTGCTGGACTTACTTCTACAACTCCCACGTCGGTAGTTCAAGGATTTATAAAGACCGCCACAACAACCCGGTCATTCCACCAAAACACCCCGCGTCCAGTCTTCGATTTTCTTGTTCCACGTTTGGGTACTCCATTGCAGTCGGCATATTCTCTCAAGCAGAATGGGATACTAAGGAATCCCGTGAGATGTTTCTCGACCACTAGGACACGAAAAGCTACCATCACCACATTCAATCCACAAAAGAATGATGACGGCACAGAACAGAAGATTGAAATCACACCGCGTGCTGCAGATGTATGTATCATTGCCCTTCCCAATTTATGTGCCTTACTTTAAGATGAAATGATATGCTAACAACTTTGCTCACAGCGTTTTGCAACAACTCCGCAAGAAAGAAAACAATCCTAATCTTGCTCTTCGAGTCGAAGTCCAGTCGGGAGGTTGCCATGGGTTCCAATATGTGATGTCTCTGTGCGACCTCCCCGCCAATATATCCCGAGATCTCTTCTCAAAGGATGCTGTCCAAGAAGAATCTTCGCCTGCTCTAAATACTTCATCCACAGATCCAAATGCTATGCCTACATCATCTACTCCCTCGAAATCAAATAATCCGACCACGTTGGATCTTCGCGAAGATGATACAGTATTCAGCTATATCAGTGACCAATCCCACGCTAGTGTAGTCATGGACGTGTTCAGTCTCGATGCCTTGAAGGGTAGCAGAATAGATTACGAAGTCAAGTTGATCGGTTCCGAGTTCAAGATTGTTGACAACCCGGCCGCGACTAGCAGTTGTGGTTGCGGAACAAGCTTCGACATCAAGTTTTGAGTTTGAGGAGGATTGATAAGTGTACTGTAAGTTACTAGATACGATATACCATTTGGGGGTTGAGTTTGGCGTGAATGGCATGGTTTCATACTACGCGGCGTTAAGTAACAGATTGGCGACCACAAGGGCATACATATCATGAACTGAATTCTTTCATTTTTACAAGGTCTTACCCACTCCTTCCAGGAATCTTGTATGCGTTCCAAGGTTGCCAATACATACTATGTTTCTGAAACTTTACTGTGGCCAAGTCATGGGGAAGCTTTATTCTGTGCATGTAAAGGAGAGAGAACTTCGGGAGGTACCATAGACAAATTATCTCAAGTAGTCAAATCAGTTCTGGAAGGTATCAAGAGCAACCAGCTTGATAATAATGCTTTACAATTTATGACTGGCGATGATAGTGATGAGGTACACATGAAATACAATAGCACAGGGACAGTAGGAAGTACGAGTTGTTTCGCAATAAAATCAAAATGGTATCAATTATTTCATAAAAGTGTATCATTCTTTTGGTTTCTTATACGCCATACATGCCAGTAAACGCTAAGCCAAAGAAAAATATCCCCAGTCCAATCGCATGCTTTAGTTCATTTGTCTGACCAAAGCGTTGATCTTCTCCTCACGGTTACCGAGGTCACCACCAAGAACGTAGTGGTTGAACTTTCTTGGGCGGAAACCACCAGTTGGGTTGCTGAGCTTGAATGGCCAAAGGAAGTTGGCAGCTTGCTTGAAGTTGGGGCCGACGGTGAAGATCTCGTGGATCAAATCTTCCATACAGACGATACCGTACTTGCCGAGGTTAGCCTCAATGATGGAGTTGTCGGTAAGAGCAATGCGTTGCTTGTCGACCTTTCCGTAACCACGCTTGTAGACGAGCTCACGGACGGTCTTGAGGTTGGGGTAACCATAGGCGATCCATGGCTCGACGACCTTGAGCATCTCGAGGGTAGCCTTGGTCATGCGAACAAAGACACCGTTGTTGATTTGAAGAAGACGGAGAAGCTGGAGAATCTTGCGGGGCTTTGGTGCGATCTTGTTGATACCCTTGATACGGATAACGAAGACCAACTTAGGCTCAGCTGGGATGTAGAAAGAACCAGATTGCTTGGCGACACGAGCAAGACGGATCTTCTCACGCTCCTCATCACGGTACTCCTTAACGTACTTCTCAGCACGCTTGAAGATGACACCACGCTTCTCCTTGTTGGGCCTGTATGACGAGTAAGGTTAGTCTCGAGGTCATACATATTTTTTAAGTACCATTGCATGTGTTGAACTTTTGTCAGACCCGAAAGATGGTTAAGTTGGACAACATCGACGTAAAGTCTAGTCGCAAACATGGTTGTTTATGCATCATGTAAAGTAACACATGCCATGTGGTATTGGGGTTGGGTGGTAATATACCTTCTTGACCTTCTCGGTCTCAGCGGCTCTTGCCTCTCTCTCCTTGGCTTGACTCTTGCGCTTCTTCAAGAGAGTCTCAGGGATGAGAACCTGCTGGGCAGTTGGGGTGGTTCTATATCAAATATTAGTCTTGTGTCCCGCATACATATGTATGGAGAAGAGCGCCGAGAGGGAATTGCAGCTATAGCGCAGCATTCTCGCAAAAGGCAAACTCGACTGTAATGACTTTAATCGGTGAAAAATGAACCAGCCTCGACGACCCCTCTTCCCACGAAGGCAGAATCGCAGGACTCAGTTGACAAATATTCTCATCCAACAAAACCTTGGCAAAAATCCAAGAAATATGCACAGCATAATTGAATGTTTTCATGGCTCTTTAGAGATACCATTGAATTTCCATCCTTGAGCGGCAATTATTTTAAGGGAGAAGATTTTCATCTTCAACCCCAAGACCCCATACTACGTCTCTCGAAGTGCAAGTCCAAGGACCTGAATCAACGAGGGAGCAGCTTAGGACAGTTCGAGCTGGAAACCATTTTCAGGTTCCAGCTTTCGAGAGGAACGCGACCATATCTGAATCGAACACAATCGATTGACCCTTCGAAGGAGTTTTTGGGGAGATTCTTACGTGGCAGACATCGTGGCGGATTGGCGGTTTTCGAGGTTGTCGTATCGAAAAGAAAATATTAAACTGCGATCGCGAAAACTTTATTGCAAAACTGGATGTGTGAAAGTTTTCTCGCTTAAAATGAAGCTAGTAAAACTAGCTCCGGATTTCAGAGACATGCTGATACGATATCACGTGGTGTTTCGATCCGTGAGAGCGAGAACTTCAGAATCGAACTCTTGACTTCCTAGGTATTCTTCAAAATTAATCTCTTGAAACTTATCCTCCATATCATCTTCAAACTTCATAGAGAAAGTTTCAAGTCTTGTTCTAGAGTATTGCAACTTGTGAAGTTTAGTTTAAATCAGTCGGAGAAAGTCAAAATTCCCTCCAGGTATTTTGCATCACCAGAAACTCAGTATTTAACAATGTCCACGATATATGCCATCGGTTCAAATGGCTCAGGACAACTTGGAATTGGCCACGAAGAGGATGTATCAGTTCCAAAGCCAGTTCTGTTCGACGATGATGTACCCGAAGGAGTGCAGCAAATCAGAGCTGGAGGTAATCATACCCTCATATTATCGACTTCAGGTAAACTATATTGCTCGGGCGATTCATCCAACGGAGCTTGTGCGCTCAATCCCGATTCACACTCTTCCCACTCGAGATTTCGACGTGTAAAACTCTCGGATGATCCCACAATCAATGAAGCACCGGTAGTTTTGTGTGCAGCAACTTGGGAAGCGTCGCTCATTGTCCAGCAGGATGAAGATGGTCATGCGACGAAGATGTATTCTTTTGGGACAGGAAATAAAGGGGAACTAGGTCTGGGAGAATTTATATTTCGATCATCCAAAGCTCACATGATTGAGGACTTTCCACCAACCGGTTTGCAAGTCGTTGACCTTGCCACTTCTGTCAGTCATGTAGTGGCTGTTTTAAGTAATGGGGACGTTTATGGTTGGGGAAGTGGCCGAAAAGGACAAATTGGTGAACCTGTCAGTATTGTGCATGCTCCTCGCAGGATTGAAGGTCTTAATTTCAATGTTGTTAGAGCTGTCTGCGGAAGGGAGTTCACATATCTTTTGGCGGAGTCCTCGAGTGGCCAACATAAAATTTTAGGGTCTGATAAATGGAACATTAGGTCTTCAGCACCAGAGAAAATAACGGGTTGGACTGATGTTGGCAGTACATGGGGGAGTATCCTACTTCTACAAGAAAACAAAGCTCTTTTGTGCTGGGGAAGGAATGACCATGGGCAGTTAGCCCCATCACGATTACCGCCCGCGAGTCAGATTGCGATTGGCAGTGAGCATGGCCTAGCACTCACGGTGGAAGGCGAAGTATGTGCATGGGGATGGGGTGAACACGGGAACTGCGGACCGAAAACGAAAGATGGAGATGTGAAAGACACCTGGAATTTGGTGGCATCCTCTAAATACTTGCCGCCGGGAGCAAATATCTCATGCATTGGCACTGGCTGCGCTACCAGCTGGATTTGCCTAAATTCATGATAGCCGAAATAAGACGGGCAAATCATTATCTCAACAAGCTACCTGCTTGTTCTTCTCGGCCTGTTAATCTCGTCGCCAAATTCTATTGTACCCCGGTAACGCACATGTGAGCATGGAAACGCACGCCATATATCTTGGAATCATGCCCAGGCTTGACTTCGATTTATGCCCCATCTAAGCCTCTTTTTTATAAGAATCGATCTAAGAGATCACTCGTCAAATAAGCCGCGAAGCTAATGCTGTTAATAAACTACTTGACTGTAGGATTGGGCCACTTACTTGTGATAGTCGTTGAGTTGGCGCCACTCGTTGTGTCGGCACAGTCATGTACTTTTCGTTGGGCGGAATTGAGTCTTCGGGATTACTCTTATTTTGAGTCTCTTGCAATCTACGACTTGGGTCACCAGCTGACGGTTCCTGTCAAGTGTTAGAGGTAGTCTCGGCAGATCTTAACCAAACTTACGTCCACAGTTACATCCCACAATAACATTTCGTTGTCCTCATCCTCATAATCAACAGGGTCCCATCTACGATCGTCATCGTTCGCCGGCATGAATAGCGCTTGTGATTGGATGCTAGGTTGTGGGGGTGGTGGCGAAGGTCTAGAGACCTTTCTCCGTGTGTTTTCCCGAACTAGACTTGGATTTGGACCAACCGGTGCAGCCATCTCGGAGCCTGATCTAGTTCTCTTCAGACTCGATGCGGCTTCTAGAGGCTGCCTTAAAGCCGGTTTCTTTGAAACTGCTCGACTTCCGTTTGTAGCTGGCGTTGCCGACGCCGCCCTCGCTTCACCGGTTGTCATAATGATAAATTCACACTGCATTCCGCCCTCACTATAGGTAAGCTGCATTGGACTAGAAGGGTTAGAGTATAGAGCTCTGATATTCGTGTTGGTTATCCCGGCATGCGCAATAATTGATTTAAAGTCTTTGACGCTGATGACAATGTGCAGCTGCTCTTCGACAGTGAACTCGACGAACTCCAAAGTTTCCACGGCTATTGTGGTGCGCAAAGGCTGCTTCAGAACTTCTACAGAAGAATCAGTGATTTGAAAGATCTTTGGGATCGAGGTGAAACTTGCCATTCCCGGACATAATCTTTTCTGTGAAACTGGTGAGGCTCACGCGTCCATCAACTGAGAAAATATCGAGTTGTTCAGTGCCTGGTCCAAAATGCTCTGCAAACTCGCGCAGGGTTCTGGAAGAGATTGACCAGCTATTGTTAGCTGCTTCACTCGAAAATAAAGCATGCAGGGGAGGAATAGCTTCAAAGTTCAGTCGGTAAATCTTCAAGACCCCTAATTGTGGTACGTTGGTTAGCAAAAAGAGGTCTCATCATTATGATTCTAGATTTACCATGTCTGCATAGAATCTTCACGATAAAACGACTTTTTGTTGCCCCATCTCCATCCTCAATCGAAACATCACACTTTTCTATGGCAGTATCCTTTTCCTTGAAAGCATCACCTCCGATGCGACCCTTGAAAACCGCGAGTAGAGCCTATCAAACAATCAACCAAGAATCTTGATACTGCACAAAATGAAGACATACTTTGTTGTAAATTTTGCAGCTAAACTTTTCCGGTGTTTTGCGACCACTACGCAGTGGCGTATATTGATACTTAGAGAAGAACTTATTTCCCACCAACGTAAAGGAAGCATAAGCGGACTTTGTTGAATTGAGCGTTGTCAAGATAAGCTGTAAATAACATTAGCAATTACTTACAATAATCAAATATCTAAACATACCCTACTATGAGTAGCTTCGATAGATACTGTTTCGCTGAATTTCCCAAGACAAACGAGTGCATCATGGAATCTCCCCAAAGCATCTGGATTGAGTGTGAAAGTCAGGATCGCCATGACGAATATCACCTGAATTTAATCTTTGGAGAATATGGTAAATGTGAATTGCCTCCCAGTTCTATCGTGATATCTAGTATAGACTAGAAGTGAAGTGTAATGTTAATTGAATTGAACTGGATCTTCCCCAAAAGTCGAAATCACGTGTTATCTATCGCGTCCTGCCTAATTACGCGATTTGCCCCGCGTCTCCATCCATCATCACAAGCACAAATGCTCAAGGATAAAAGCATCTACAATAAAAACTTACTTTACATGCACATAACTCCTATTTATCATTTTCCATGTCAATATAATTCAAGGTACTAATCACGATCATAATAAATTAAAATATTAACCATCGTCTGTCTACCCGGAGGAATTGGCCACCGTTCAGTGCTGCGATATAATGTCTGTGAAGCTCGAAATCGAGGCAAACCCCAAAGATACCATCTCTTGTCCAGCACGCCACATTACACCTAACGAGCAGAGGAACATGAACTTACCAGGAGACATACTTCTTCAAATATGCGAAGAGTTAGCCACTCAACTAGAATTTGGAGTTCTTTTCAATTGTGCTATCTCCGGAAAACAACTGGTTGGCTCGGCGTTGCAATGGTTATACAGGTAGGTATCTTGCCCAGAAGTCTATTTCCGATACCAAGCTCTTAGCTGATCCCTGAAGGACACATAATGAATACTTGAGAATTATTAGCAGTGAAGGAGAGGCTCCTGAGTGGTCAAAAATCCAAAAGCGCAATTCTAAACACAGCGCGGCTTCGAAATGGGCAAAATTATGGCAATCTGTTGTACGCTCTAGTCTAGGGACTACTGCCTATCCATACTGTCTATATATACGATCGCTCGATCTAACCAATCTTTGGAATCTTCTCGAGGATAGCACCTTCCGAGTGGCTGCGAAGGATAACTTCTTTGCTGATGAGATGGCAGAGTTTCTAAGTGTAGATGGGACACCCAGAAGGCGATCCAAGAGAGGTCCACAAGTACGACTCAATACTACAAACATTATCAATCTGATAGGAGAATCAATCACAAGATATGTCAGCGAGCGCGCGGATGAAAATCAGACAACGGTCGCTTTGGAGAATCTTTCAGGGGATATTACATCAATTGCATTGCCAATATGGGCCGGACGCTTATCAAGGCTGAAATCCATGACGATTTGGGACGGGAAATCATTGAATGAGAACGTTGCGACGGTGATCTCCAAAAGCTGTCCCAACTTTGACGAGATCCGTATATTCGTGTGTTCAGATGATACCGATCACAATCCTGCATCATTCATAAAAGGCCTCACACAGAACAGTCTCCTTTCACTCGAGGTTTTGTCTAACTGCAGGATTGGTCCTTCTTTTCTGACCGCTTTAAACCATCATTCCGAATCACTGAAGAGCTTGAGGCTACAGAGCCTCAATTCGGAAGCCATCAAGAATCTCAACGTTCTTCAAAGATGCACTGCGCTTGAGACACTCGATCTAGAGGATAGTCAACATACTGTGGACTTGGAAGCTACAGAGAACGATGTATTTCTCGAAGTCGTCGAATGGTTGGGGCGCTGCGAGAAGCTCCGAGAACTGGTTCTAAACAGAATTGTTTGTGCCCCAGCCATTTTAAAGCAGGTTTGTCTACGAAACGATATCCGACTGCAACGGTTGGTAGTTACTGGCCCTTCTCTTGTCAATGATACAGAATTTCATAGAGCAATTTCACACCAGACTGAACTCGAGGTCCTTGAACTTCGAGGTGGTTCGGACGAGGTATTTAGAGTCAGAGATGATATTGATAATCTTCTCACATCCATATGTCAACTCACTAAGCTCAAGGAACTTACCATCATGGAATCGTTTGAATATTTCAGTAGTAACGAAATCAAACGTCTCGCAACAAGCCTGCCTCTTCTCGAAAAGTTTCACTTCTCAGGTTATGGTATTGGAGATGAAATCTTGCCTTACTTATCAAAATTACATAATTTGCGAGATGTATCTATCGCTGCAATCTCTAGTTTCACTCTCGATGGCTTACTGGCCTATGTTTCGACTTTACGAGATACAAACCAAGGTCTTGTACTTTCAGTTATGAGTCAGAATTCCGACCAAGATCTTGCACCCTTAGAGTTACAACTCATCCGAGAAGGAATGATCGCGAAAGTAGATGGAAAGTTTGACTTTGCACTGCTGAGAGAGGTGGCGGAATCGGAGTTTGATTCTGCGTCTGATTAGATTGTATGTATTACCAACAGATGCGAAGAATGGTGTATGGGGGCAAGTGGGTTGGGTAGGATGTCACCAAGGCGCGAATAGGGAGTTTTGCCTTTAATGCAACAAGGAGTCAAGAGAACATGCTGCTAGTACTGAAGTTTCATATGGGAAAGGCGCAAAGCTTATATGGATTATTTCTGGCTATCACAATCTCTCTTATAATAGTCTATATAAATAACAGAAACATCCGAGAAGCATTCACAATAGCTGCTGTCTCTTCAGTAATGTTTCTAATAAAGATATAATAAACATTTGACGCTAAATTGTATCTTTTTCGATAGCATCTATACTTTAGTTTCTATTAATCATTCATTGCATCCCCTGACAATTACAGCATAGCACTATGTTGAACAGCAGATTCGTTCCTAATCCCTAATTTAACCAACCACATGCACAATTCCGTCGACAAATCTTTCAATCTCATGACTCGGTATGTCCGGAGCCTCCAACATCATTAAGTTTCCAATTCCATCCAAGACTATAAACGATATTCTTTCCTCTGCCACCCCACTCAGGTTACTCAATGTTTCCTCTTTCTACCATTTCAACCCTATCATCCACACCAGCGAACACCAAAGTAGGCGATGTGATGTTCCTCACCTTTTCCAATGTATTCTCATGCATCCCATATTTCGGCCATGCTGCTTTCGCATACTGGTTGCCAGCTAGCGCATTCGTAGCTAAACTACTGAACACATGTTCAGAAAGAGGTGAAGAGGACAGAACATGAGCAACGACGAAAGTAGTAGCCTATCATAGGCTGTCAACTGCTGCTTTGTCATTTCTTCAAGAAGAATCAGAGGCGTAGGAGGAGCAGGCGCAAGAAGTATGAGGGCTTGGAGTCTTGGAAACGAATTTGTAGGAGAAAGTGATTCGATGGTAGAAGAGAGATGCATAGCAACCTTTCCACCCATTGAGTGGCCGATAAGAATGAATGGGTGATTTGGTGAGAGAAACTCGGGAATGAGAGTGAAGATATCGTTGGAGAGATCCTTGATGTGATACGCATCTGGATCTTGTGGGCCAGTGGAGGAACACCAGCCTCGGAAATCAAGAGCTAGGAAGTAGTGGTTGGAGCAGAGTGGAGTGATGAGAGGAGCATAGGTGCTAGAGGAACCACTCCAAAAATGTAGAAATATTAAGGCTGGCGAGGAGTTGAGTGTGCTTGAAGAAGACATTGAGTTGAGTGGAGGAGTTGATCTCGTAAAGTCTTGAGTTTGCCATCATGATTATCGTCTCTTGTAAAGATTAGAGCTGCATTGAAAATGTTATACTGAATTTTATGAATAAACACCTAAGGCGAGTTGAATACTTGGATTGAGCTGAAGGTTTGAATCTAATCGAACTGAGTGCTAGACCTGCAGTCAATATAGATAAATATACCACCTCATACAACGGGGTGGGAAGCGGATATAGCGACAATATATGCGGGTATACATGTCCACCATCGATAGTAGAACGGTTTTACATGAACACCCGAGAAAGCTTCTTGGATATTGGTGAAGATAACAATTCTGAAAGGATGTTCTCAACATCAAGGACCACTCCCTCTGCTCGGTGACTTTTGCATTGGAACTTCCATATTTTCCAGGGGGTTTTCGCCATCATCAAGATTCACCTCCTCAAATCTCTCCTCCTCGGCCTCCTCCTGCTCCTCGGCCTTGTCCTCACCTGCTTTCACAGCTTTCTCTTCTGCCAACAGGCGATATTTTCTCTTACTTTTCTTTACAGCACTGCTTTTCCTCTTCTTTTTGGTCTCCCCTACAATCGCAACCCTGCTCTCCTTCCCCTTCTCCAACAACTCAAGCCTTTCTGCTAGCATTTGCCGTGCGATTTTACGATTCTGTGTACGAGAACGGGTGGCTTGAACTTTGAGGACCATACCTGTCGGGATATGTTTCAACTGCACTGCGGAAGAGGTTTTATTCTATGGAATGGTGAGTTTTAGTTCTCGACTTCAGATTCAATGGCAGATAGGCTCACGATCTTCTGACCTCCCGGCCCACTGCCATGCAAAAATACTTCAGTAAAATCTGCTTCATCAATGGGTGCTGGCCGGTCGGGCATCTTTTTCTTCCATAATGGCGTTGTATTGCAAATGTTGCGTTTAATGAGTGAGTTTGAATTCACAGCAGTAACATTTTTAAGGCCGGTGCTTCTGGAAACTATTGAAAGTAATCCTCGTAGCATTGTACATGTTGACAATCTACTGATTGCCATGAAATAAATCGACGTAGTTGGATCGTAAATTTTATTTCTTGTATCGTAATTCCATCGCATTGATTAGCATAGTGATTTGGTGAGCTTATCGTCCACCCCGGAAATTTGATATTCAGGTACTTGCTCCGTACGGGTACTCGAAACAAAAAGTTCCGCTTCATTGGTGGTGCATCGTTCCACTTCTTCCCTTCCCTTAACCTCAATTTCTCTCATAATCATCTACACATCATAATCTTCTTTGTGTCTAGTTGAATTCCCCTTCTTTGAATCATCAATTAAACAAGACTTAGAAATCGCAGCTATTCTCACTGTTGAACGGACTCGAGGAAATACACGGTCAAACTACGAGAAACAGACAGCAATAAGGGGTAACAATGTCTATGTTCGCATCTACATTTCGATGGCTGCAGAGGAAGAGATATCAATATGAGGTATTTGCGCTCGTCAATATCCAAACAGAATAGATTCTGACACATTTGAGCAGGTCACATTCTCGTTGTACATGTTGACACCCACAGAGAAATTTATATTTAGTATGTCTTTTAACCTCTCGACCGGCAGCCTCTTATTCTTATTCCATTGGTCGCATTTGTCCACCCCCTTCTCGAGTCTTCAACTAAAATGCACGTGTGGCTAACATCTTGATCTGCAGATTCGTTCCTCTTTCTCTTCTTTAGCATGATCATTATTGCCATGACACTTTATCTCCCACAGCACATCACCTTTCTTACCAACCGCGCCTGGTTCTACTACAACGGAGACGAGTCCGCCAAGTCTGCCCTTACATCTGCGAGTCCGGTCATAGAAGCAGTGGCCAAGGAAACTATTGCAAAAGCTGTCGAGGTTGGAGTTGGGAAGGAATTATGATTTTGGACTTTCACGCAAGGAACGTATATACTGGGGGCCGTGTACCAATATCAACGATGGGATGTGAGAAACGAGAAAACGCGGCGGTGACGACTGGATTTATTTTGTTTTCATACGGGAGTTAATGATTGCGATGGGATAGATCGGATGAACATACACCTAGCATTGTTGTAATACTTAATCATGAGACGGGCATGGGATTTGAATAGATATTTTGTTTTGGAAGTTGCTATGTATGTCTTAATGCTGGTACTCTATGAGGTCGTTGTAAAATGTGCATTGCATTCTTCTTGGTGGGTCCTATGCGGAAATTTGTCTGGCAGCCATGAGATGCTTCATAGTGTTGTACATCAATTCTCCAGCCCCAGGGAAACCTTTGCGCTCCAGATATCTCAAGACACCCAATCTATAGTCTTGCCACGATACAGAAAACCCACCGTCTTCTTGAAGCTTCTTCAAAGAAACTTGTGTCACTGGTCCAGCGTGTCTTACGTCAATTTTATCTTCGGCTTGGTCCTCTAATTCCCTCACATATGTAATGGCAAGATGACATGTTGCTGGCGAGTACGAGATACTGAATAGGGAGTTGAGTGAAAGCGATTTTTCTAGCTTGCCAACGTAAACAGCCAAAACTCCCATCGTCTGCTCTGGGAGTAAACAGCCAAGTGCATTCACATCTGCTGTGAGGAAAGCCCGTGATCTCCACAAGCAATTGCAGATATCCATTAGAAAACCATTGAAGCGATTGACATATTCCTTGGGATATGACTGATTGCCAAGTGCATTCGAACCCGTGCGTGAGGCCATGGCCATCTCAAGAGATTTCTTGTAGAGGGCCAGGATGTTGCAAATGCGGGAGATGATCGATAAATTGGAGCTGAAGAAGAGTGTGTAAACAATTTGAGGCGGGGGAATAGCTATTCGGACTTTAGATGTTATAGCTGGGTGAGATATGAGGAATGCATTCGCTTCGTAAAACTCAAGAATATTTGAGTAAGTTGAAACACTCGAAGGCTGTTGCAGAATTGTGACGGCCAGCTGATTGGCGTGATTCACCAGCGCGGCTAGGTCTGTACCATGGTTTGTTGAGGTTGAAGTCTCCGAGAGTATGTTGAGATTCCACTGGCCGAGCAAAGCTTTGTAGAATTTGAGGAGAGCAAGCTGCGACTCGTGAGTACCATCTATAACTGCATCTTCAACTAGAGAGAATATACTCTGGTAAAGGTCTACTGCTTGGTCAGTCTTGAACATAGTGTGCGATTTGTGGCATACCGTCAAAGGAACCAATGGGAGTATAGCTTAACAACTCTAAGATTACATCACGGTTTGTGATACCGTTCCAAAAAGGTAGCAGGGATTCCAAATACGAGAAGCATGCCGAAGGCAGTATCTAACATGTGTTAGTAGAGCGAAGCAATATCTTGTGATCCAACAGACCTTGGTGTATCTAGTGTATTGTAGTATAAGTTCGAGCATATCTGCTGTCTGCGTCTCGGAGGACCGACCATTCTCTAAATGATCTTCGAAAAAGCCAGAAAGCCAATTAATCTATGCGTTGCAGCGTAGTCTCCGAAGACCTGAGATGCAGCAACTTCTGAAGCAAAGGGTCATGAATACTAGCCACTAATTGGTTTGGGAGCTCGATCTTCTCAAGCTTTTGGACAAACTCATTCACATCTCCTACTTCCTCTAGTGTGATTGAAGTCTTGTAACTGGTTAGAACTGATCGTAAGTTTTGAAACGAGCACTTACATCTTGGCCATACGAGTATGTACTCAGGTAAAAACCCGTGCTTTCTCTCTTTGGTAGTCTTTCGGGATATACGGAAATTTTGATGAGTAGAAACAAGCTTGTCCTCTATCTTCTGAAGATGATCTTCTTGGATTATGCCGAGCCTTTCCCGCCACTCACGATTTGGATGCTAATAATATTAAAACATGAGGTATGAATAAAAAATTGGCGAGAACTAACCATAAACACTGAAGCTCTCCCGGAAGTCACGTCACCTACGATGACCTCGGGATAGTAATCTTTGTATACCCTCATAAGTCCTACCAGAGCTGGATCGTGACCCGCTTTTCTTGACCATTGCATTCTGAAGGAAATTAGCAGAGCTTTGTACGATGTCTTGCTCTAACATACAATGCCTGTATCCTAAATGGTCGAACGTGTTTTCGGCGAGTGATGAGGGACAACACGTGACACAACTGTGACCTTGCGAATGTTAGCTGCGATGCCATATTCTAGAAATCTAGGTATAGATAGACCAGTACCTGAGGGCAATAGTATCAAGCAAATTGAACAGTACAGCATAAAGTTGTGACAAAATCTTTGGATTCTCCAAAATATCATAGACCAGGACTATCCATTTCAACAATGCGGCCTGAGCTGCATAAGAGGGTTTGGCCTTTCCATGGCCCAGAGCTCCCACTACTTTGATGACTACTGCATCTGGAACTTTGCTCGCCGGATAAAGATGTTTGATCAAGTTCCCAACACTTCCTTGATCGAGCTCGTTGGGCAGAGTGAGGATGTCAATAAGCTTTTCCAGCGACGCATTAGATAACCCTTCTCCATACGCTCTCGAGCATAGTCTATCCACGTGGCTTGAAACCTTTACCGACCGTTGCCTGGCAGGAATACGTGATGCTATATTGATTGTCAGTATTTTTCTTCGTTATCAGAAATCCTATGGTAGGTAATGGTTGTGGTCGCGTAAGACGCGTTTGGATCTTACCGTTTTCCAAATCATCAAGAATATCATCAACCTCAAAATTGTATTCGATCCCAGAAGGACTCTCCATAGCTTGTCAATATCTGGATTGGCACGATGTAGGTATAGTCTTATGATTGTTCATAAAGTTTTGTTTGTCGGACTTCAGAAGTCCAAATGTGTGTGTGTATATTTTTGACGTTCTTGCTTCTTGGAAGGGAATCAAAGAAGGGATGAATAGTACCCGACGTACTTTACATTGCTATTCCAAAATTTCTTTGCAAATAAATTATCATTATCCTTTCGAATTTATCTACATAGATATATATGCATTGTACATTTAACTCACTGTTCTACATACTTATGGATACCCTTTTTATCAATCTATTCAGTCAATCAAGAACATTACGGATAGAACTGGGTACAGATCGAATAGTATTAATTGGTAGTTTATTCCATATATATATATATATATATATATATACATATTCGACACTTCCCTCGAGGGTTTATTATATACAGAATATTCCTATATCTATAGCATATAGATTAATATTTTACATCATCATCATTTCGAGAGATTATATTATGTAAATAATAAAGCTGGAAAGGGAAAGTAGTACGTAAATACAGGATTAGCATTACTCGATGTACATGTATGTAGATGGATACTTGGTACTTCCCATTGGGTATTGACTATGCAGGCATTCCAAGATATTTCTACATATGTATATTTCGAACATCTGGAGCAATAGAAGAAAGAATCCAAATCCATAAATTCCAACCACCTACGGTATCTAGGTATATTCAAAATCGCCTCATCGTTTTCGTCTTTAGTTCCTGTGTAAACCATAAATATGCGCGAAACCCAATAGATGGCATATCCCTGACGACTCTTTTCGCGTTCCTCAGTGACCGCCTCCCAACCTCGAATTTTATCAACCCATTCGCGTTCCTACGCTTCTTTTACCATATCTATGAATATCAACATTCAAACAGATCTTCCACATTGGATGATCGGAAATGTCTCCTGTCCTACCTCAAAGACGCCCAATGTCATTGTACTTGGACCGTTGAGCCTGCACATCAGGCAAATCTTATTCTCAATCTAGCTATGATTACAAATTCATACGATATCCTTGATACTGGGCGAGACTTCTCTCCATACCCATACAGTCTTCGGGCTTTAAGCTCTCGGTGTTATACTGTTGTTATTACATCGATTGTGAAGTCATTTCCCTTTGCTGGGAAATTGCACCACATACTCAAGAAGGCTTCGTATGGGTATAGTCAAAAAGAACAACCCCTGCTGGTATCTGAGAGAACAGAATTGACGGAGCCACGCATGAAATGCGTGCCAGCAGATGAATGCACTCTTTGGCAGTCGATCGTTTGAAATCTGCAACTCCGTTCTGGTGCAAGGGGGTGGAGTGAATGACAAGCATGTGTTGGTGTTCTACAGGTTTACTCCTGCGGAGAGCCCGCGAGAAGCAGGTGGAAGCAACTCAACCCCCGAGCACTTCTTTTTTTAGCGCAGATGCAATACGAATTTCTACTTGTGAGCAGAAGGCTTCTGAGTGTCAACTTGCTGCGCTGGTAGAGTGGCCCCGGACCTCGTTTGTTATTATTGAATTCCCGCATTGTACGGCATCCTGCGGGAGCATGTGATGTATAGACGCCAGATCTATACATAGCCCATGGAAAACTCTTTGTCTTGTCAGGCTTGGCTATGCCTCTGCTTTCGGTATGCGAACGTTTTTATGAAATCCAGTCAATCGTCGATTTGGGCGAGAACATGGCGTTGAACTAAGCATCGGATTTTCGTCTTAGCATTCATCTTCATGTTCCAGCTGGAAGCTAGGATGGAAAGATTGAATGCATGTACAAAATTGGCTGACCTCCCTGGTCTTAGTTTACCCTCCTTGACATGCAATGCAGGCACAAGCCCTGATCACACACTAAGCATGCCCTGAGTCTAAGCTGCCAAAAAACTTATACCTGCGAAATACAAGACGAGGAACAACTCAAATGCTCTTCGGCAGTTCAACAGCCGGGAGAAATATGACCTGAATTACGGGGAGAAGAATTTTGTAAATCTTTCAGTAGATTCTGGTTACTGAAGCATTTACAACATCTTCGGATTATCGTTAACATTTGCTCTACATTGGTAGTTTTGGTGCATCGCATTAATTCTTGTGGTTGCGGCTACGAATCCCTCTGCCAAATAAATTGGTAAATGTTGATAGTCGTTCCAAAGCTTCCATAGTATTAAGAGATGCACCGCGTATTGCCTCATTGGTAACAAAAGACCTCGTTTTGAGCCCCCAATGAATCAACCTTTCATTTATAGTGTGGTTTTGCTCTTCAGCCCAGCACGCGGATGACCCGGTTCGTGCGCCGCCTGCAAGGTTTATGGAGGGGAGGGGGGTCACACCAATTCGTCTCATCCTATGATATCTCGTTTCTACGCTCGATCGACTAGTTTTATCCCTTCTTAACAGGCGGCAGGGTATGGAACCCACACTCTTTTCGCATTGGCGGGCAATCTAATTCGGTCAGAGTCAAAGAGAACGGTGTATTTTTGTACTTGGTAAAAGTGGACTTTCGTCTATTACTTGATCTTTGAACAATTTTAATACTATGTTATCACCTTACAGGGAAATAACCGAAGATTAGGGATGTGATCAAGCAAGCCATAGAAACGCTGAGCAACCAAGCTGTCGGTACATGCCTTCCTATATCTTCTTCTCCAGCCTTTGGCCGTCACAATCTTGGAAACTTGAGGGTAGTTTTGAAACGCTAATGAAAGGTCAAAATGTTGATTTCAAAACAGGTCTCAGCTACGCTATGTCGTCCTTACTTGTGGCATCAGGAAATATTACAGAATCAATGTATACACCTTCACCTTTAGTTACAACATAATTGCAGCGGGCGATCTAACTGTATGTAGCGACACCGACGAAGATTTTACCTCTGCTTCATCAGATATATCAGAAGATCAATCAGATCAAGGAAACACCTCAGCTACGATATTGAGAGATTCGGCGGATTTCTGGTCGAAAATACGATCGCTTCGCGAATCAGACGTCCTGGTACTTCTAACTCCAATTGTAGTGCCGATCAGTCAAGACATTACAGACACCAGTGATCCCTTTGAGTGTTTGGGACGGGCTCTGGCCAAGAGACACGCCAAAGTCCGGCATATCCCCTATACACGAAGGTAATTGGAATATCCGAATTGGCAAGGTCAACACTGATCAGCATAGAAACGGCATTACTTCAACTCATTTAGGTTTCATAAAAAGAAGCCATGTCATTATACTTTGTTTCGTGGATCATCCCGAACATCAGCATCAGTTCGAAATCGCAGAAGTCCTCTTTGCAGTCAGCGATCACAAGCCTTGGTATGCTTAACATAGTATTTTATGTCATTTTCCTGGAAGTCATACTTTGATTGAAGGCTTTCCAAATATTTCCTACGTATTCCCACATACTGTCAATTCTTAATCCTCTTGGAGGTCTTTCTCTTGAACAACTACTAACTTATGGGCATATTTTAGCCTCATTATGGTATGCAGTGATCAAGTAATTAAGCAAGATTCGATTCCGTTCCCTACAGTCATCTTAACCTCCGGATATACACCAGAAGATATGGAAGCCGCAGCTGCAGTGATCTTTGGGGAGCGGGAATCCAGTCCTAATATAGGGATAAATAGTTCCGCATCCGGTATGATGGAGACAGCTCGACCCAAGCTCTGGGCCGTTGACCAATGGAATGAATCTAGAGATGTACCAAGTGTTTTCAAGCTCTGGAGTGACAATTTTGATGTCCAGTTCTCCATTGACGTTGAGGCATTCGTGTCTCTACTTCGTCGCCCAGGTTATGCGAAACATTATGTAGTGCGGGACCCAAGAACGAGCGAAGTTTTAGGTTTTTGTGCTACATATCTTTCGTACGTCGATCAAGAAGGCGAAAGACTTGTCGCATCACTAGCGATTCTTGTCGTAGGAAAGACCTATCGACAACAGGGCATTGGTCTCAGTCTTCATAATCATGCTATTGCACAGTTCAGAGGCACACGAGGCGTCATTCGTCTTCACCTGGGGAGCATCTTTCCAAGGCTGTTGTACGGGCCGCCTCTTTCTTCATCCGCAGAATTGACTGCGAATGATGAATGGTTCCACCGAAGAGGCTGGATACTCAACAAGGAGTTAAGAGGTCAGGGACAACGCGTGTATGATCTGATTCTAGACTTTACCGAATGGAAATATCATCAAAATCAACGGCAAGAAAAATTTAAGTATCGGCAAAGTGTACAAGATGATATGGTCGAGGTACTTCGTTTGGTCGAGGAAGCATCTATTAAACAAGGTAATATGGGATGGTTCGATCAATACTTTGCTCTAATGAACGGACCCAACGTGAAAGACATTATCATATGTCTAGAAGGAGATCAGATCATTGCAACGGCACTTACATACACCCCATTCTGTGGCAGCTCCATATCTTCTAATTTACCATGGGCAGGGCGGATTGGCCATGATGTTGGTGGAGTCACATGCATATGCGTTTCTCGTAAGTGATCTAAACTGCTTCACTAAAATAAATCTTTTAATGCTAATTGGTTCGAAGCACAGAGAAATGAGCCATTACGCCCGGAATTACTTGATGCTTGTATCAAAAAACTATACCAGCAAGGTATGAGGAGAATGTTTTATGACGGCGTAGCAAATGATGTAGACGAACTAAACAACTAGGTGAGTGTCACTTTTATTCACATACCTGGCAAACGACTGACTTTTCAGGTTTGAGGAATGGGCAAAGTACCGCGACGTCTGGAAGGACGCTTAAGTAAATGGACTAGTCTACAAGACAAGGGTATTTAAACATTGACTTCATTCATTCCTACTGAGAAGTCCACTGAGGGTGCCATAAAGACTCTCCCTCCGTAGTGACGAGGGTTTAATTTCTTTGGCTTTCTCCCGTCAAGTTAAAGATAACATGAATAACAAGTATAGATCCGTGTTTCTATTACCCATAATCTTCAAAATATTATATCCGACACATTGGGCATGAAAAGGATGATACTA